CAGAGTCCCTCGCTCACACGCGCTGGCGTGGCTGTCTGTCTCCTTCTTTGATCTCTGACTCATTTCTGCACTATCAGTAGGAGTTCTCGCCTTTAAAAAAATGTATCCGTTGAAAGGCACCAGTAGGGAGAAAAATAGACCTCTCCGTACGGTGTGTGCCAGGCCACCTCTCGGGCTAGGAACATGGAATCTGCCACCTCCCGGTTGCAGAGTGGCAGCCCCCAGGACGCTGCACCAGGAAGGCTGCATTGGGAAATGTTGCTTCTCCTCAACCCGGACTGGGCGGTTCCAGGCATTTTTTGTGTCTACACGTTCCTGGCGGTGGGCGTGTCGCTGGTTCGTGCGCATGTGCAGGGCATGGAGCCCAGCATCTGCAGGCACTGCTTGCAAGGGAGGTGGGCTTCAGGCCCCCTCTGAGTGCTTCATCCTCAGGAAGGCATTAACAGTGATCTTGTCCCCTGTTTGGGTTTTAGCAAACATACCATAGGACTTTTGGGGAGATTTTTTGGATATTCCTTTGTAGGTGGCCCAAATACCAAGAAGGCTGTCTAACCTTGATTTTTGGAGCCTCGTTTCCACATGTTTGAGAGGGGCAATAAATATATCCGTACCCCATAGGAAGACTTTACGCCATGGCATACTACAAGTATCAATTTTTTATTTCTTTCCTCCTGGTTAAAATGTACTTTAAGGATAAAAAATTGAGCCAGCTAGGGTTTCATTATTGGCTGCTCAGATCCTAGAAGCGGAGACAGTGGCTACATCCCTCTGCCATGTTCTGTGGTGCACGTGGCTCTGGAATGGCTTAGACAGCAAAAGAAAGTGCCTTTTACAAGGAAATCAAAAGTCGCATTGTGCGTGTTACTATTGTGTTTGTGTTTGCGTGATGAATGTGTGTGTAGGTATGTGTACTGTGTGTGGCACACGGGTGAAGCTCAGTGACAATTTTGTGGATTAGTTCTCCTTTCTGCCTTTATGTGGGTTCTGAGGGGTGCGGGGGACACCCTAACCTGATGAACCGTCTCATGGGCTCACATCTTCTGCTCATGATTTTGGAAGTGCTGGGAATGGAACCCAAGACCTTATGTTTACTAAAAAAGCATTAACACTGAACTCCAGCCCAGAGAGCTTGGGGGAAACAGGGTGTCTTGTAGAGGCTTATAGGTGCCCGGTGTGAGAAGGGTGTAGAGGAGAACAGGCCTGGAGACAAATGAGGGTTTGGAGTAAGGACAGAAGTGACTGTTTACTAGGTGGCTGGCTCCGGCTGCATGTGGCTGTGACAATCCCTTTAAAAACATAAAGACAGAAAAAGTGACTACCTTAGCTCATGTGCTAGGACATGGCTGAGGAGGAATTTGAACTCAATTTACCGTCTGTCTAAACCCTGTCAGTCTTTCTGTCTTTGTTCCTGTCTGTCCCACTTTAGACTCCCCCTACCCCATCCAGGCTGACTGCCTCCGTGTGCGTCAGACGCATAGTCTGTTAGCAGGTCTCAGGAGCCACTTGTGTTCCACACACAAGGCCAGCATCCCTCCCAGTGGAAGGCTGAGGCTGGGAAGTGGACAGGGCCAGGCCCAGAGACATGGTTCTTACCGTTATTTTCTTTTACATTAAGGTTCACATATTGTGAAACGTACTCAATCTGTCCCATTTGTGGCTTTGGGTTTATGTACAGTGTCACACAGTCATCACAATTGTTTAATTATCTCCCCCTCCCAAAGATCCATAACTCAGGGACCCTCGGTCTCCTTTGCCCCCCAGCCCCTGGTAATCATTACTCAGTCTTCATGGATTTGCCTGCCCAGGAGCTCACCAGAGAATTATAGGATGGTGGCTTCTCACTCACCTTTTGTGGGAGCTGGATTGCAGAGGTGCCTCTGTGTGCAAAGCTCAGATATAAGCTGGTCTAGAGGGAACTTCCCATGGGCAGAGGTCGCTCTAACAGTCCCATAGGGACGCCATACCTTCTTGCCCTTGGAGCACGTAGACTTCAGCGAGGTTATCATGCCCGATGAGGCCCCGTGGCCACCTGTCTAGCCAGGGTGTTATCACCTGGTGTGGACATGTGACTTCACCTTGATAGACCCTGGTACAGCTCTGGTGACATCCTTCCAGACTATGGCAGCATGATATTTCCTTTCTGCTCCTTGGCCACTCTTCCTATCAGAGTCAACTCTGAGGAGCTCCTGTCGGCATCTCAGCCAACCCAGAAGTCTTTTGCTTTCATGGATGGATGTGCTGAAGTCTAGGGTGCTTCATTTTCTTCCACCCCACATGGCTTCAGGATACAAGATAGCCTGCTCACTCTACCTCAGCTGCAGCCACAGAGGGGGCACAGAGCATCAGCAGGCTGTGGAGATGCCGTCACATTCATGTCCCTCCTCTCTTTGAGCCTCAGTTTCCCCCTGTGAAGTGGGAGGTGGTCCTCCCTGTAAAGCATGGTGGCTCTCCTAGACTTAGTGATGGCTTCTGATGATCCTAGCTCCCATTGATCTAAAAGGAGGGCCTTCAAGGCCGTTAGTGGATAGGGTGAAGCAGTGTCCAATGCAGTGGGCTTTGAGGCCAGCACTGGCCTTGCATGGGAAGTAAGTGATACTAACCTCAGACTGTCCTTTCTTGAGTCTCATAAGAAAACTGTGGTGTGGCTTTCTGCTCTGTGTTTTGGACTGGAACCATTCTTGGGCTTATCGGTCACGCCCTTCTGGGGCTGTGCCAGCCCAGAAACATCTGGGCTCTTGTATGAATATATGACTACCTCAGCAGGATCTGGCAGTGTCAGTGTTGGCACTGGCCCCTTGGCTGGACATCAGTGAGCTCCAAGCTGGGGGTTGCTTCTCCAGTGCCCCGAGAACCTTTATTCTGTATTGACATGGTGGTGGTGGGATTTTGAGGAGGCAATTGCTCAACTTAGTAACTGCTAAGGCTTACTGTCTTCTGGCTATGGCCACTGTTTGGGTCTGTGCAATGGGTGTCCTCTGTCCTTGTGCTCAGAGGCATGTGAGAAAACTGGACTGGAGAAGACTGACAGGGTCCCGGCTCCCTATGGGCTTGCATGGTTCTGTGGCTCTCCTGGGAGGAGGGAGTTCCCTGTGGTGGCTGTGGTGTAGACAGATGCCCACCTGTGAAGATCTGCAGGTGCCAGGAGGTGAGGCTTCGGCCTCCCCTGCAGAGCTGGTGAGGCTTAGCTGCCCATCATTGTGTTGATGTTTTCTTGTTTCTCTGATGCTTCTCTGCTCAATTATTTACCCAGGGAATTTGGGCTTCTTCACTTGTGGTTTTGGCAAGGGCTTCACACAAATGTTTTGCCCTGGTGGTCTCTTAACCATGTAAGATAAACGGCCAAATCAAATACAGGCCTTGCTGGTGGTGCAGGCTCACTGTGGGGCCGGGTAGAGGCAAGGCAGCACCCCCTCCCACCCCAGCCCTCCTGTTCATTGCTGTCACTGTCTGTCAGATGAGTGAGCGGGGAATCCTGAGCCAAGGTGAAGACATTAAGGGGGGTCTGGGCCATGCTAGGTCTTTCTTGTGGTATGGGAAGGAGGAGGAGGTCAGGGCATCTTCTGAGCCTCTGGGGCTTGGGTGCTGCTTGACAGGTCTGGAGAGAGACCTCAGGCGATCAGCTAGGCAGGGCCTCAGCAGTGTCCAGACCCTTGGATGTAGACTTGAGGTGGCTCAGACCTGTCCAAAGAGCCTATACTGATACAATTACAGCATCCTGCCTCTTACAAAGAGGGGTTGCTCAAATTTTTAGGTAACAGATCCTCAATTGACGCCTGTTTGTCTAGTTTGTTCCCAAACACCCCAGCTAGGGAGTCTTAACGGGGATTGGGGCCCCCGAGAGGCCTTCTGTGCCCTAACCCCCGGCACTAGGCCCCTAAAGGCAGGGCCCCTCAGAAACTCTCTGGCAGCTGCAGGTATAGCCCCTGCTAATGTTCCCTGACCCCCGCTCCCTTGCTCTTGCCCCAGTTGCCATCCCTGTAGGGCTGGTATCCTTGGGGCCAAACCCTCTTGGAGGCTATACTGTAGCCCCGTGACCCGGGCCCCCTCCTGTGCCCCAAGCCTCTTGTGCAGTCCAGGGCCCAACTGACCAGTCTTTTCTATTGTTTTTTCTCCAGGGCCGTGCAGGCCTGCCCAGCTGCCATCGATGGCCCCCATAGCTGCCTCCTCTTCCCACCCTCCCACATCCGTGATTACTTCACCTCTGCGTGCCCTGGGCGCTCTCCCACCCTGCTTCCCGCTGCCTTGCTGTGGCGCGCGCCCTGTCTCGGGCGACGGGACTCAGGGTGAGGGTCAGATGGAGGCTCCCTTTGGATGCCAGTGTCAGTTGTCAGGTAACAGAGCCGCTGCGGTGGGGGAGGCGGGCTCCCGGGATGGCGGGCTGTGCCCCGGGAAAAGCTGGGAACCCAACGTGGGGTCCCAGGGGAGATGCACCCCTCCAGACTCAGAAGGCTTTTTGGGGGATGGCAGCGGAAGTGGCAAAGGACGTCAACTGAGTTGTAATCGTGCCGGTTCCTAGGGGTCAGAGGGATATCGCCCTCGTGCATCCCTTCCCTCCACCCTCAAATTCTGAGAGTCTGGCTCCCAGAATGCACTGCCCAACCTCCAAGTTTCATCTCTTTGGGCTGTTTAGCTAAAGTTTAATTGGATAACACTTAACATCTGAGGTTTTCTTCTGCCCCTTGCCTCTGCCGCTCTGCCACCCACCCCAGACAAGGGTAGGAGAGGATTCCTGGGTTGTCTGTGTACAGTGTTGGAGCCGTTCAAAGTGCTGACTTTCTCTTTGGGACAATGTGTTGCCCATTAACTTAGAGGGAAGAAAAAAAAAAAAGTCGTCCCAAAGAGGAGTCTTTTAAAAAAGCTGTGGCCACGGGTAGCAGTGAAACATTGTGGGCCTCTGGGGTGGAGACTGCGAAGGTTGGTAGCTCTGGGCAGACCCCAGACCTGCTCAGTTCCCTCAGCTGCTGTTGAGGTTACACAGAGGGCATCCACAGCCAGGTGGTGGCAGGGCCTCCCTTGTCCCGTCCCCCCCACCCCCCATCTCCCCACAAACACAGACTTCTGTGGCCTAGGGTCCCCACGAGGTCGAGGGGAGAAGGCCCTCCCTGCAACCTCATGGTGAGGCCTGGTTTGCAACACACTGTGGCTTCGGGAGCCAGAATGCTGACACAGACTCACGTGGCGAGCAGCTGTGGCCTGGTTTCCGTGGCCAGGACCAGGAAGGGAGAGGGTGGCTGCAGCGCTGGGGCACATTCAGTTTGTCCCTGCTTCATTGTCAGGCACATTGCAGGCTTTCTCTTGACTCAGGCTGTGAAAAGGAAACCATTCTTATCGGGCATGTTTTGCTCTTCATTGACTCTGCCTCAGGGACCTCTCTTACTGTAACGTTGGCTTTGCACAAGGCTGCAAATAGCCCCTGCTCCAGGGCAAGACCTCCCTGCCAGTGGGGTGGTCTGCAGCCTTCAGCACCATTCCCCATACCCCTACCATGACAGGTGGTTATGTCATTGCATCTGACATCCAGGACCAGGAATTCTGGTTCCTTCTGGGCTTATGTCTTCAGTGTGTAAAGCAGAGACTGAAATCCCCTAAGAGTTGGACAGCTTACAAGGCTTCCTTCCTGGCTAGTCTGGCCAACCTGGTCCCTAAAGCAACCGATGCTTCATGTAGCTTAGAAGATCTGTTTTGGAATCTGTGGAAGACCCTGTTCACCAAGCTTGAAGTGCCTGCTGGTCTGGGCAGCTGCCCAGTTCTCTGGATCCCTGTAATGTGTGCCGCAGCCTGGCCGCCCTGCACACACTGGGGGGGGGGTGCACTCTCAAAGACCAGCCTGAGTGTTTATGGCTGGATTCGGTCAAGTTCTGCATGTGGAAACATGATCTCTTTGTCTTTCATGCCACTGGGGTGTGCTTAACCCTCTGCTGGCCCTCCTTAGGAGCGGCCAGAGAGGAGGACTGAGTTGCCTTTGATTTTTGACTGGGCTCTCCTGGTACCTTTGTGTCAAGTGTGGAGCAGGAGCCCTTCCTGTCACCATTTTACAAATGAGTGAGAAGGGCAGAGGCTGGGAGGCTTAGTCCTGGGGATTAGCTCATCTAGCCACATGACCTCTGCCTAGGCCCAGTGGAGGACAGACAAGGTCCGCAGGGCCTTGGCAGCCAGGGAAGTCTGCTGTCAGTCTGTCCTCACTGATGTTACTTGTTTCCTACGTGTAGCTGTCTGTCGTGTACTAGGCATTTGTGCGTGTGTGCCAAGGGTTTACTTTCCCACTTTACAGGTGAGCTTCAGAGCCCCGAGGTCTCCGACTTACTCATCCCTTAGTTAGCTGTAGGTCCTTAGGCACATAGGCCATGCGCAGACACTGGTAGAGTCAAGTACGTTGGTCCCTTGCCTACCTTGCAGCCTACAGTGTGGGCACAGAGGCTGATGGGAGGAACTCAGGAAGAACTCAGAGGAAGTGGCTCTCATCCGACACCTTCTCCAATCAATCGTAGGATGGAGGCCACCATGGACTTCAGGGCTCCATCTCGTCCATGTGTGGTGACTTCAGTGCTTCTGAGGGGAGCAGCAGCGAGGGTCTGAGCCCTGGGACCTCTCTAGGAGCTGGCTTCCCAGGGGCCCGCTGTTTGTCTTTCTTCCATTCCTTGTTCTATATCCAGTGCCCTTCTCAGCCATTGTTCTGCCTTGTTAACTTAGCCTGCATCAGACTGCACCACTGTGCTGTATTTTCTGATAAATTTTGACACATTCAAGTGTCCTCTTCCAGTGGGTTTTGTCCCTTTGGTTCTGTTTCTGGCACTGGGCTGTTTGCTGAAGTGTTTTTAGTGCCTGTTTAATTAGTAGCTGCAGAGGAGGCATAAAATCGCCAGGAACCCTCGAGGAAGGAGGGGCTGCAAAGACCGAACACTGCGGTACTCAGTGCGCTCTGTCCCTTTTCTGATCGGGGAGCTTTGAACCTATCTCTTCAAATTAACTCAGGAGTCCTGAGCTCCACACAGGTTAATTGCATGCCCACGAACACACTCTTGGTTATTTATAGAAGATTTCATAGGAGAGAAAACTACCCAGATACACCAGGCCCTGCTGGGACCCCTCACCCATGCTTCCCTAGGATGCTTATAGCGGGGAGAAGGGACACAGGGGCCTATTATGTTGTGGATTCCACAGAGATCCTATGTGGCTTTGGGTCAAGGTGCTCTTGGCAACGGAAAGATCTTCTCTCAGATTTATCAAGGTGGCTGTGCAATCAAGAACCACAGCCAATTGCCCTTCCCTGTGTCATCTAAGGACCAGAGGCCTTGAACATGTCATTGTCCCTCTTTAAGCTCCATGTCCCTTTTTTTTTAAAATGCCTCCCCCTATATATGAATGTAATGATGAAAAGCAAGGCTGTGTGCATGGATCTGTGGACTAGAATGGGTTGGGCTTTTGTGGGTCTGGGCCAGTCTAGGGTCCCAAGGCAGAATCTGAGGATACTCAGTGATAGCTGAAAGTCACCGGGCTACATCATGCTCTCAGTCCTTCCCTGTTCTGAGGCATCGTGAGCAAAAAACATGGCCTTCAGAATGTATCAGGTGTGTGACCGCACCCAAGTCATTCCCTGTCCCCTCTGCTCCTCCATTTTCTCATCTGTGAAATGGGCACAAGGATAGGGCATGGTCTACTGTTGTTTGGAGGATTTTTTTCTTGAGGTCATTTAGGGCAGCTATTGAGAACAACTCTTTGTATGCAACAGGCCTCACAGACGTCATGATTCATACTCAAGCAGAAGGGGTTTCACAACCTGATGGCGTTGTGTATCTGGTGGGGGCTTCCTTTAGACCGCATCCCTGGTTTCCATGCTTAAAAGCATTTAGCCTCTTGGCTGGCTCCATCATGCACCAGCGTTAGGAGGTGGAACGGGAACTGGGGACCTTCATTGCATATTTAGAAGCTGTAAATGGTCGTCAGCCAGAGTGATTAATGCATGTGCTTGGCGAAGTTCAAGGTCTCACGCAAGAACACACAGCATCCAGGCTCAGGGTAGTGGAAGTGTTTGGATTTAATAGAGGGAGTCAGTTGCAGTCATTAGTATATGCTGAAATCACAGGGCAATCTTGTAAAGTTAAATTCAATTTACTTTTCTACTGAAATTGTGCTTGCTGTGTTATTTAACTAGTCTGGGGTTTCTTGGCATGGGTTAAAGGGACAATAAAGATAAAAGAATACCTGTAAGTAAATAGTAGGGTTTAACAGTAGAATCTGTCGTTTTCTCCTCCTTCAATTATATCCCAGTGTTCGTTTTGTGTTGGTTTTTATAAGTGGAGCCCTCCAATGGGATGCCTAGGATCAGACCACCCTAGCTGTGGAGGCTTGATGCAATTAATACAGTCTGTCTGGAAAGTGGCCTTATTTCTGGAAGTTTTATGTTAATGATATGGTCTACGCGCTGCACATTTCATACCAGAATGAAGATGGAACTGGAGTTTCTTTCTGGACTGGGTTTGATTAGCAGCAGGGGCTCCCAGGGCAGCCACTCTTTCAGAGGACCGAGATTGGCAGTTCTCCCTGGTCTGCCCTGCCTAGTGGGTGTGGTGTGCTGGGTGCTGGGTGGTGGGCATTCAAGCCTCCATGGAGACCAGAGGGAGGGGGGCCATGAGGGTGTGGTAGGGGACTGAGTGTGGGGGAGGTGTGTGATGAGCCTCTAGGGGGAGGTGACAGACACACTTGTGAGCTCCACTGCAGTGGAAAGCTTTTGGGGGGAGGCGTGCTTTCTGAGCTCACCAGGTCCCTGTGTCAACGGGGTTGGCTCAGTGGAATTATTAAAAATTTAGAGAGCCCTACTGGGAATGTAGCTTAGTTGTTAGAGTGCTTGCCTAGCTTGTATGGGGCTCTGGGCTCATTCCCTAGTACTATACTGTGTAAAGCAGGTATGTGGTGCAAGCATGCTATTCTCACACTTGGGAAATGAAAGCAGGAGGATTAGAAAGTTCAAGGTTACCCTCAGCTACACATCAAGTTCATAGGTCAGCCTGGGCTGTGTCTTGAGGCTCTGTCTCAAAAAAAAAAAAATCAATTAGTCGTTTGTCCCTTCACCATGCCTATACGACAAAGACATTGGTGGTCTCACCCTATGGCTGACATTTCCAGTGTGGTTGGCAGTTCCCGGGGGCATGTTTCTAAGATGGACTCTGGTGTCTGTGTCATCTTGGGATGGTCCCACTGTAGCTAGCTGCCATCTCCCAGTGCCTGCGCTGCCTACTATCCTTCCTGACTGGAAGCAGTTCCCTAGTGGCCATAGAGAGCTGCCAGGCCCCTGGAGCTCAGGAAGCCAGTGCTCATGTTCGTGATGGTAGCC